AGCATCAAAACACTCTAACATGTCTTTACCATGTCCATGTCACAGCAATGCTTTAAAATACATTGTTCAGTCTTTACTTTCTTTTCTTCTGTTCACTTTAGCTGTTCTGTGCTTATGGGAAAGTTCCAAAATCCCTTCCTCCACTTTGGCCTTTACTTCTTTTCCATTTTTATCTTAGTTCTGTTAAGAATATAAAATAGGGTTTGGGGGCAGGGTTGCTGTATACCAATGAAAGAATTTTTCTTCTACTTTTCAAAAAGAAGAGCAAACTGGGGGGAAGGATGGGCAGGAAGAAAAGTACAAAAATGAATGAATGGAAATCCAAAATCTCTGTAAATTTTCATTAAAATTAATAATAAAGAACATAAAATTTAAACCAATTCAGTCATTTATGTATGTATAACTCAGTGACTACACTCTTCCAGGTATACAACCATGCTCATTTCCTTCCTATTAACATGAACTTACTAACCCCTCTCAGAGTCCTATATAATCTTTGGAGTTGTTATTTTTAATTTGATCCCATATAGATCATTCTTAAAAAAAAAAAATGATCAAGGCAAATAATCTTTATTAATTAAATTAAACTACTATTTGGTGTAAAGTTGACTTCATGAGGTATTTCTGGTTTAAAATTTAAATATTATCTCTAGAAAGAATGGGAAAAGGGATCGTATTGCAAGGCATTAGTTTCAAGAAGTTATCCAGCCTTGATGGCTCCAGAATGGTTCTGCATTTTCCCCATTTTGCCCAGGATTCTTTTGAAAATCCTGTTATCAAAATATTACATAATTTTAGCCAGGTACTATATAGTTCTTCTGTTCTCTTGGAAGCAATTATGCATACATCCATTCCTTCTTCCTATTTTTGGCAATCCTTCCTCTTACTGCTCCAGGTGAACAGATATTGGTCAATTATTATACCTGAGATGGCTGCTTGCAACCTTTTAAGATCCCATTACGCTAACAAAAAATTGTATGGCAGAAGAGAAACATTAACCATGTTACTAAGCCATTAACTAGGATGTTTCATGAAACCATGAACCTAAACCTCCAAACCAAAAGCTAAATCCAATAAGGTTGTACACAAATAAGTCATTTCAACAGTTAATTCTTTTATTGTTCTAATAATTACAGCTATAATTAAAAGTCTGTCAATTCAACTCTGTCAAAAGTATACAAATTATTAATATTTATTTCATTAATCAGCTGTGCAACCTTTTTGCTTAATCAATATTAATTTCTATCACTTCTATTCACTAAACTGAAATTCAAATGCTCCAAAAGCTAAACTCATTCTTATCATCCTCTTTTTTCCTTTTTTAATGACTTTTTCCTTTTTCATGTACAATACCCATGATTTCTTCCCACGACTCATTTGGTCTTCAGTCTAGTGTTCTGTTCAAATCTATCCTTGAAATGGTCTCCAAATTCATGTAAGATGCACTCAAGATCCTACTTTGGCTCTCTTGAACGTGCTTTAATTTTCTTCTGTTTCAACTTACACATATCCATACATCCACAATTAATGATGTAGTCTGCAGATGACTCCCAGAGTTTTGTTTTAATTGATATTAAGCTTCCCCATTATGTCTTTCCATAGAAACACAGTTAATTAGATATCTATGGAATTCCAGTCTTTGACTGAGTCACTGAAAATAAATAACTCCAATGACAAGTCACTGGTTCTGCAAATTCGATCATGTGACGTCTGACATAGTTTCTATCAGTAAAATCTTACTTTACAACTAACTGAACCATTTTTATTACCATCTTTCCCATTCTAACCAACAGTAACTATATATGCATTATGAATTTGTCTTTCAATATGGCTTTTATAGTGTGGATGACTATGTGGATGGGTGGGACTAAACAAATTAGGCATGTTGGTTTATGCAAAACCATTCCATGAAGTGATTGGACAGTCTCAATAATCTACAAGAGGACTGGCTAGTCTTGCCAATAAATTAAACAGCTTTAGTTGCAGAGACGGAATTCTCCCCAGCCAGATAATAGGAAAGACAGCTTCCCTATCCCAAGGAAGAGAAGACAAGAAAATACAGCACATGCTTCAGGATGGCAGCATTAGCCACGGCTGAACTGAAGAAGTAACGTGAGATGGGACTTTGGGGTGGAGGAGAAAGCACTTTTAGCAGGACTGAGAACATGGTAACACTGAGAACAAGGCTTGAGGCCAAGATGCCTGTGCACACATTTCTGTAGCTGTCTTGCCTATATTCTATTATTAATCTGGGTTATAACATTTTATATCCCAAAAAACTCCTCTGTGAGGTCTGTGAGCTAACACTTAAAGATTTTGGACCCAGTAAAGCAGTAAGATTGGTGTTGACATGAGTAGAGGTATGGAAGCATGGGGGACATGTCTGACCTCATGGGAAATAGTTTTGTGTTACTGACACTGTAGATAAGGACAGTTCCCCTTTGCAAAGTTGATAAAGGTCAGACATGGCCTTTCTCATGTGGCCCTTGCTCTTTTTACATGCATCTTGATTGTATGTTCAATCAATTTCAAATTGCAGCAAGTTGTACTTCAACTTTTTCGCATTTGTCATTCATGTTTAATGCATAAATATGAACAACAGTCATGTTCACTGGATATCTCTGTATCACAGACTATACTAGGCTTCTGCGGAGATCCTGAAATGTTCTTTTTAATAATGAATGCAGCACCATTTCTTGTCAATGTGTCCTCCTCAGCATACAAGATTGCTAAATTCAAAAGGGTTGATACCATTTCATGTCATAACTAAGATATCAATATTCAGTATTTCATTTCATTTACTATGACTTTCTATTGTCCACAGTTTCTACTTCAGACAGTCCAGATTTCAATTACCAGTGGATTTCTACAACTGCTACGTCTCAGTTTGAGTCATGTCGCATCAGCAAAAGAAAGTACCAAAGTTTTATCATTAAGGTCAACTCTACATTGAGAAAGTAGCACTTACCCAATTATAGTTTAAGTTCTTTCCAACCTGGGAGACTATAGTACAGCTGCACTACTTGGGATAAAATTCTACTGCTATAAATAGGGTTTTCATTCATTAATTTTTCTGAAGTAGATTACTTCTGGGCCTTTTCTTCCTAGTCTGCCTTAGTCTGGAAGTTCCACTAAAGTTTATCCACCATATATGATCCTGCTGGTAGGTAAAATATCAGCTGTGAAGCTTGTAGTCTCATATCAATACACCAGCCATCACAGTACAACAAGATGACAGAGAAATCATTTACACTGGAAGAGTAAAGAGAACAGAGGGATCTAAGACAATGCCAAAGTTATACCTTGAAAAAGTAGATGTAAGAAGGAGTCATTAACCTAGATACAGGTAAAATTTAGAGCACAAAGATGATGTATTTCTTTTTAAAAGTTTAGTATGGAGAAAGAGCTTTGAATTAACAGGTTATTCACTCCAGGAAATGAAGAGAAAACAGTAAATGATTCATACGTTTTAGGGGCTCTTTACTATGTATTACGTTTCAATTTCCTGTAACACGCTAACTAACTGCTAATGATTTCTGGTAGGAAGAACTATTTTTCTGAAAGAACAGAGTATCACATTGTTGTAAGTAGATAAGGGTAGTTATGGGATGACAGGAAACTGATCAATCAGTTATTTCTCTCTCCACTATTTGGAGGACAGTATTAAAGCTTTCTTTCATAAGAGTCATAAAAAGTGGAAAAGTCATTTTTAACTGACTCTTTATGATGATCTGTCAGCATAGTAAAAGAATAGTTCACCTCTGCTTAGTAAGAAAACTGACAAAATCAAGCAGAATCAGAACAAAAGACCTCCTCAATTACTGATGCTAGGTTGTCCAAAAGGGAGCTCTGCTGGCTTAATGATAAGAAGATGCACTACAATCCCAAAGGTATGCAGTCTGAATGCACCAACTGTTCCGCAGGGGAAAGATGAGCAATCTTCTCCCGTGCAATTTACTGCCTCTGAAAACCCACTGAAGAACCAACCCACTGAGGTGTGGGTTGGTTCCGATTCAATGGTACACACATCATCAAAAAGTAGTCTAATGCCAAGATTCAAGACGCTTTGGAAAGTATTAATTAGATCAGACACTATCAATTAAGAAATGTCTCACAAATTTAGTTTTTTATATGTCTACTTTTTTTAAAGAGTTAAGTTGGGTTTGGTTTTGTTTTGTTTTTTCAAAATTAGTGTATGACATGTGTATATATTCTGGAAGAGTTAATTTTTAGTTAAAAATTACTGTTGGAAGTAATTTTTTATCTATGTAATTAAGTTTTTATCTATGTCTTGGCTTAAAGAATCCACATAATGTCACTCATATCAAAGATCATAAAAACAAATATTGTCAAAAAATTTAAAAAAATATTGTCTAAGTATTAACAAATTATTCTAATTGAAAGCAAAACATTCTTACCCCTCAAAAAAACCTCTCAAACTGCAAACATAAACATATGCAATCGAATTTTTATAGATTAGAAATTTCTAGAGCTAATTTCTAGTTTTCATTCACATACAAGTATGTTTAAAAATGCAAGCCTAAATCAGTCTTGTTTTCAAAGTTAATCAAAATAATTATCATTAAAACCTTAAAAATAGTATTTTATTAACATCTTCTTTAAGCACACATGTAAAATATAAGTTTATAAAATCAAAAGTATAGTTATCCTCATTTTATATCATAAATTAGCACAAAGATAAAGACATAGATCAAATTATCAAAAATTAAATAGGCAAACTGCAGATATCAGTTTTGTTTTTTGAGGTTTTTTTAGATAGCAGTTTTAAAAAATAATTTCATGCCAATCCATTTAATAAAATATGGAACCTTCATCCAACTATGTAAACTGATACTGTCAGTTTTTAAATTGCTGCAAATGGGGGTACATTTATATATGCAGTTTTAAAGATCATTTCAAAGAACTTTTAGTTTAAGAGTACTGGATTTATATTATTTCAAATGTGGTAAGTTGAAGAAAATCAAGACTGAATAACATACCTTTCAGATAACTTAAGGCTTTGGTGAAGAGATTTTAATTTCTGACATGTCTCTAGGTTGTCAACAGATGTCGAAGGCAATGAGTCTGAGTGCACCTTGCTGCCATCACATATATTAGCATCATTTCTAGGTAGGGTCTTTGTGAATTTTCGTCCTAAATCCGTCCATAGGACATTCGTCAACATAACTCTGAGTTGCCTGTTACACACATAAACAATTAATGCACACAGTACTAAACATGCACAAATTTATCACAAAGTATAAGACATTAAAACTTCCAGATACTGAAAATTTCAGTTCTTCAAGTAATTAGTAAATTTCCTAAGTAAAAATAATAATAATTAAGTCCTACAAAAAAACATTAAAAAGTAAACTGTATTTTCTTCAAAATTACATATGGTAGACTACAATTGTGGTCATACACATGAATAGCTAAAAGAAGGTAACATTTCTATTTAGTCACAATGTTAGCAGTAGAACAACAATACGCTTTAACACAGAGGCAAATCTTTCTGCACAACAATATACTATCTATGCTTTTAAACCTATAAAGTATATAGATTTAATTTTTACCTTACTTCTAAAAACAGATAAAATGAAAATATTTACAAGTCATTTGTTTAAATGCAAAAGCAGTTCCTTCTATCTCATTCTGCCCGTCTACATCTAATCTAATTTTATGACAAAATCTGAGGAACTATTCTGTTCTGAGGAACATATATTTACGTGTAAAACAGCTTCGAGTCTGACCCTAGTGCTTCTGTTTCTCAAAACTAGAGATATGTGGCAGTGCTGCTGAGTATACTCAAAAGCCAACAGCACTACCACATATCTGTAGTTTTACAAATTCCTATTATGTAGGAACTGTTCTGACTCCACTTCCAAGGAACAATGATAAGATTATTGATAAAATGGGGTACAGAAATCTTTGGAGGTTTTTAAAATGGCTTACTTTGAAATATTTTTGCCTCCATAGTCAAAATGTTACAAATTTAGAAATTCTGTATTAAATATATTTCAATGAATTATTATTAGTAGTAGGACTTAATTTCAGCATTTGATTTATTCATTGCAAATACGTTTTATAAGAAGCATAAACGCAAGCTATACACATCAATTTCACCTGATGATATGCATAGAAATCAGATAGATTATATCTGTGGAAAGAACCGCTGGAGTAGCTCAATATCAGCTGTGAAAACTAAGCCAGGTGCAGACTGTGGAACAGACCACCAACTACTCATTTGCAAGTTCAAGCCGAAGCTAATGGAAATTAAATCAATTCCACAGGAACCAAAATTTAAAATTGAGTCTATCCCACTAGAATTGCAAAACCATCTCAAGAACAGGTTTGAGATCTTGAACACTAATGAGTGAAGACCAGATGAGTTGTGTGGGAGGATATTATCATCCAGGAAGAATACAAAAGATCATTACAAAGACAGAAGAAGAAACAAAGACCAAAATGGATGTCAGAAGAGACTCTGAACATTGCACTAGAGCACCAATAAGCCAAAGCAATGGGAAGAGAACAAGATATTAAGGAGCTGGACAAAAGATTTCAAATGGCAGCGCAAGACAACAAAGTGAAGTATTATAATTAAATGTGCAAAGAGCTGGAGTCAGAAAATCAAAGGGGCCAAACTTGCCTAGCATTTCTTTTCTAACTTAATTCACTGATTTGTTATAGAAAATCCACTATATGCTGGCCACAGCTAGAGCCTGAGTCCTCTGCACAGAGACTCTGGTAAGAGTCTTTACACGATGGTCCATGAATTCCTGGTAGGGAGACTTTGTGAACAGTCTCTTTCCAGAGATCTGGGGTCAAGTAGCTGTAGGTTTTGGAGATGGCATAAAAGGTGGCCTTGGTAAAGTTGTCCAGGTAGCTGTGCAGCCCCTGGCTGAGGTGTAGCAGTCATCAATTCCAGCCATCAGCAGCAGCTTCTTGGGCACAGGGGCCGAGATAATTCCAGTGCCTTGGGGTGCATGGATCAGATGCACCAACACAGAGCCACAGTGCCCAGTCACCTTGCAGGGAACGGTGTGAGGCTTGCCAAACTTGTTCCCCCAGTAGCTATGCTGCACAGGGACAGTGGAGAGCTTGACTAGGATAATGGCCCCACAGATGCAGTAGCTACCTCCTCGAAGCACTTGATGCCCAAGCCAACATGTCCATTATAGTCTCCAATGGCAACAAAGGTCTTTTTTGTTTAATTATTATTTTATTAGTTTTAATGAATATTTACAGAGATTTGGGGTTCTCATTCATTCATTGTTGCACTGTTTTCTCTACCCTCCTCCCCAGTTCGTTCTCCCCCCCATGTCTGTTTTAATTGTCCAATTGCCACAGTGCTTGTCAAAGCCAGTTCTGATTAATCTCCTTTGTCAATATGTCCTTTGCCATTCCCTATCACTCCTCCCTGAGAGAGATTCACCTTGATTCATGAGAAAAAGGGGATGGTATATTCTCTTAGCTACTTCCTGCTGAAAAGGGATGCTGTGGGTTTCAGGGTGGAGATCTTCTCTCACTACTCTAAAGGGCCCCTTTGGCAGCAGGAAACACATAGACTATTATGGAGATTGATTTTGGAATTTAGATGCACTTGTTATCAATTGTGCTTAGCCGTACATGTTCATATCCTTGAAGATGTATCATGGAGGTGTTGCAACCTAGAAGACACAAATTTAACTAACAAGTTAAAAGTACCTGAGTCAAAAATTAACAAGCAATAATATTCCGAGTAGAGATTCTAGTAGTGGCACAAATCAAGTTACAGAGGGAAGGTGGTTCTTACAATAAAAGGCCCATAGGCTAGCACTCTGTCTATTATAGTGTTCCGGTTAGGAACCACAAGATGGAGAGGCTCAGCTATGTCATTTATGCTTCGTAAGTCCTGGAGCAATTTCCATCTACCACTGGGCTGTTTTACAACTCAGAAGTTCACATGCAAGGGAGAGGTGAAGTAAGAAACTGCTTATGAGGTTTTCCATCCATTCCAACAACTAAGAGATAGTGAGAAGTGTTGGGACCTCATAAGGCTTTTAGGACCAATTAGTAGGCTCTGTGACCAGGAGAAAATGAATATACTTACCAGTAATATTAATGCTCATCCACGGCTCTTCTGGGAGGATCTAAATCGTTGAAGTGTCCTCCTTTGTTTCCAGCTGGGAACTGGGGCCTGTCAGTCCTGTCTGCCATGAGGACCTGATGTGGGCCACCTTGGCCAAGTGTCCTTCAGAGCCACACTTAAAGCAAGTGAATGGGAGCTTCCTCTCTACTCCCTTGCCTATCTGTGGCTCTCGTCTATGACACGCAACAAAGGTCTTGAACCTGGTCCACTGGCCAACACGTGTCTGTTTCTGCACAGGCAGGATTTTCAATACCTCATTCTTGAGGGACAAGCCCAGGAAAAAGTCAGTGATCTCAGATTCCTTGATGGGCAGTGAGAAGAGATAAATCTCCTCCAAGGATTTGATATCTTTCACTAGGCAGCCCAGTTTGGTGACGGGGAGCCACACCTTGTTCTCCGCTTTGGCTCCTCAAGCTCCACGGCCCCTCCCACAGCCCCTGCCATGGCCCCAACCCCAAAGGTCACTACCAAAGTCTCTGCGGTAACCACCCCAGACTCCCAACCTAGGGCCCCAGGGGCCTCCATCTGCCATGTGGTGTATTCTCAGAGAGGAAATGTTCAGCATTTCTTAAGCTCAAGAAACTGAAGAACAAATTCAAGCCTCGAGTTGCTATACTTAAAAGGATGCTTTGACCAGAAAAATCTTCTGAGTTTCTTTTGGAGTTACTGGTCTCCTCTGTCAGAGACTGTGAGGATGGCACAGGTGAGGACTGGCTGCTGCTTTTATGTAAAGGAATGTGAGTATGGCTCAGCAGAGGATGGGGTACTTCTGTCATGTTTAAAGAGTGTGAGGATGGCACAGTAAATGACAGGGTACTGGTCTCATGTGTGAGGAAGTGCGAGGATGGCAAAGGAGAGAACAGGGTGCTACTTTAGTGTGTCAGCAAGTGTGAGGGTTCACAGCAGTGATGGGGTGCTGCTCTCATGATCCAGGGAGGATAAAGATCCAGGAAGTATTAAAAGAAGATGGAAAGAGTATACAGAGTCATTGTGCCAAAAGGAATTGGCAGACAGAAAATTCATGAAACAATGTTTAATCAAGAGCCAGTGATGATGAAGGAAGAAGTATAAGCTGCTCTGTAAGAACTGGCAAAAAACAAAAGACCCCAGAAATTGGCAGTATACCAACAACTGATGTATTTCAACAAACAGATGCTGCCCTAGAGAAATCTGGACAACAACCATCTGGCCAACTAACTGAAAGAGATCTATATTTGTTCTCATTCCAAAGAAAGGTGATCCTACAGAATGTGGAAAGCATCAAACAATATTATCAATATCACATGCAAGCAAAATTCTGAAGATTATCCTAAAACAACTGGAACAGCACATAAACAGAAAACTGCCAGAAGTGCAGGCTTAGGTTTAGAAGAGGTTGTGGTACTAGGGATAATGTAGATTCTAATGTTAGATGCATCATGGCTGAAAGCAGGGAGTACCAGAGGAATGTTTATCTGTATTGACTATACAAAGGCGTTTGACTGTGTGGACCACAACAAACTGTGACTGACACTGAGAAGAATGGGAATCCCAGAACAGTTCATTATACTTATGCAAAACCTGTAACTTGGACCAGGAGGCAGTGAACAGAACAGAGAAAGAGAATACTGCATGGTTCAAAATTGGGAAGGGTATATGTCAGGGATATACACTACCTCCATACCTTTTCAATCTATATGCAGAACAGATTATCTGGGAGGCAGTGCTCTATAAGGAGAAGTGTGGCATCAGGATTGGAAGACGACTCACCAACTATCTGCATTATGCAGATGGCGCAACTCTGCTTGCTGAAAATGAGGAGGACCTCAAGTTCTTGCTGCAGAAGGTCACAGACTGCAGCCTTCAATATGGATTGAAGCTCGGTATCAAGAAAAAAAAAATTCTCACCACTGGGCTGACTGGCAATATCATGTTGGATGGTGAAGAGACTGCGATTGTAAACAGCTTTAGTTTGCTCAGCTTCACAATCAATACTCTTGGCACCAGCAGCCAGGAAATTAAAAGAACTATTGCCTGGGAAAGTCTGCGGTCAGAGACCTCTCCAGAGTACTAAAGAACAATAATGTC